CTCTGTGTGACTGATACAGCGTTGCTATTTCATTTTTATAAGTATCAGAATGAGAGCAAAAAATAGAAAACCTAGTTGGGAATAATTTCGTAAGTCTCAGCCCTGCCCCCTCAGAGTAATTCGCAATGACTCACCGCTGTGTTTGACAACTCCGGGGCGTTAATCCTGTTCCCTTCCAGCTGGGAGTGCTAGCTGTAGCTTAGACATCCAGTAGGTGATAGCTTTACCAGTAAGCTTTTCCAGTTTCATAAACATTTTTTGCAACCACAAAACCTGTAGCGCACCACCGTACGAGCAATGAGTATGTTGGCATTTTCCGTTGGCGTATTGTAAATATTACGATGTTTCCTCCAAATAGTAATTAACATTTCTGAAAAAAAGTTATCTGAGCATCACCATTCGAAAGTTTGCTTTGGGGAATTGATAGTTATTAATGTACATCTGTATTAATTGATGGCAAACATAACTGATCATTCCCCAGAATCCTATTTTTTCATTACAGTATCTAACTTTTTGCCTCCTCTTTTTTGGTTTTGCTGGTTATAAAGGTTTGGATTGGAGAGGGCTCACTGGATCCCAATCCTTGGAGCTGGATCATTGGATTCAAATCATAATGTGGATAGGATAGGGAGGCTGAATTGCAAGGATTCATGGAGCGGGATCAAATTACCAGGAACATAGGAGTGGATTCCTGCCCCAACCAAACCGCATTCGTGTGGATTTTTTTATTCAACTCAATTGGCTATTCCAAAGATTTCTTTTTTCCTATTTTTGACGATTGGAGCCCTTAAGATGCACGATGGAGTTTTTCATGTTTTTTGGTAAAAGGAGCAAAGCGAGGACCTGGAGAGGTACGCTGGAGCAATCTCCTTGGAAGGATTCAGCACGAGTAGATGGTAAACGATAAAGGGGAAAAAGGGGGGTTTGTTTAAAAAAAAAAGTAAATAAGTCATTTCTCTAAATTTAAAGATGAAAATTGGAGTTAAAGATTGAGTAGGTTTTCAATTGGCTATCGCCTTGTTTCTTTGACAAATAAAATTTTTAAAAAAACCCGTGCACGGTTGTCCTCCTTTGTTGCCGAGAGCCTGGGTCTCTGCTCGCCGCTGCGGCCTTGTGAAATCGCGGGTTTTCGGACAAAAGGCTTTTGTGTTCCACAGAGATGCAGTGTTTCACAGGAAGCGTTGATGTTTGAGCTGCTCCTGAAGAAAGGATCAGTTCCCTGGGAAATGGGTGGAATTTGTTGTACGAGGGGGGGAAAGGAAGGAATTCTCACTGCTTAAACGAGGGCGCTTTAATATTAATGGCGCTGCTCCTGGTGCTCTCTTTAAGGGCACCCCAAAGGGAAAATGTGAGATTAGGGGGGCTCGGCGCTGCCCCGGTAAGGAGTAAATAGGGGTCGGGCCGGTGTGTGTGGTGGTGGCGGCGGCAGCAGGCGAGGGGTGACGGCAGGTCACCGCGGTGGCGGGGGAATCACCCCCGCGGCCGGGCTGGGACCGCGGCACCTTCCCTGGGTGGAGTGTCCGGGTACGTGAGGGTTCCTTGGGGCGTCTGGCGGGATGAGGCTGCTCGGGGCTGGATGGCTTTGATGGAGGAGTGCGGTGGCGTGTGGAGCGGGAAGGGGTTGCTGCACCCTGTGGGCGGCAGCTTGGCCTGTCCCGGGGTCCCTCAGGTCCGTGTTGAGGTGCGCTGGGTTGGCGGGGTGAGGGTTTGGTAGTGGGGGGCTGCAAGGGGCCGGGGGGTTGCTGTGAGAAGCTGCTGGAAGCTTCCGCTGTGTCCAACAAAGCCAATTCCAGGTGGCTCCAGGATGGACGTGCCGCTGGTCAAGGCTGAGCCCCTGGGTGATGGTGGTGGTGGTGCCTCTGACCACCGCAGCTGGAGCGAGGGAAAGCGAAACAGCCCCGCAGGCACCCAGGGTGGTGGAGCAGCGGGAGGAGGCGCCCGGGCACCGGGGCAGAGGTTCCCCTGCAGCCCCTGGTGAAGAGCCTGTGGGAAGGGCCCGTGTGGGAGAAGTTGGTGGAGGAGTGTCTGCTGGAGGGGGACACACAGATCCCACGGTGGAGCAGGGGAAGGGTGGGAGGTGTGTTCTGGTGTGATGAACTGACCCCAACCCCCCTTCCCCATCCCTCTGCGCTGCTGGGGGGAGGAGGGAGAGAAATCGGGAGGGAAGTTAGGCCTGGGAAGAAGGGAGGGGGGAAGGTGCTTTTAAGATTTGGGGTTATTTCTCATTACCCTTCTGTGATGTCATTGGTAGTGAATTCAATTAACTTTCCCCCAGCTGAGGCCGTTTTGCCCGTGACGTTGATCTCCCGTCGTTTTGGTTCCTCTCCCCTGCCCGGCGGAGAGGGGCAGCGACAGAGCGGCTTTGGTGGGCGCCTTGCGTCCCACC